TTAAAAAAAGATACATTTTTCCATGATGGCACTTTAATTTTCTGAGAGGTTAGAGCACAACCCTAATATAAAATGGAGCTCTCTTCTAAATATTAATATTTGTTTCACATTGACTAGAGATTAATACCAAAGATCATGCCTAGAAATATTTTTCTTTTTAAAGAAGAGTGGTTATATGCTAAGTATGTGCTCTTTATTTTGACATTAGTCTTGGAGAATGAGCTGTTTCTGTTGACAAATTACTACTGGGCTGCATGTTAGGACTGACTATTTATGAGCCAAAAGCATAATAATGTATAGCCCTAAACACCTCCTAACTACCAGACTATTACTGCAATAGTTTTAAAGGAGACAGTGGTCTCAACACAGAGGTAATGGTTTGGGGAACTCAAAAGACATTACTGGTGATGTGAATGATGAGCTTGATTTTTAAATTTTCACAAGACTTATGATTTCTTTGACTTTTTTCTCAATTTATAGTCAACTTCTGGGTGGAAAGTATATCATAATAGCCAAGTTCTCTCAAACTAATATTTTAGCCCCCTTTTGGAAAGCTTAATGTCTTCAGAGCATAGCTTTCACTGAGAGTCTTGAAATCAAACCAGTTTTGGATTTACTGACTCAGGCTTCTTGCTACTTGGAATGTTAGAAATCTGTGGGAGGTGCTTCATAAGGAACCCAAAAAAGGAAATTCTAGGTGTGGTTGGTAAATGACTTAAAACTGCCTCCTCGCAGACAGAAAAATGTTCCCTGTAGATCTAGTGGAATGAAAGACACAGAACACTTTCCTTTCCATAGTGGAATTCCTCAGTTCTCTAGGATGAGACATGGAAAGATGCAGACTCTGGAATTCATTTGTCAACTTCATGGCTGTGAGTAGGTGAAAGCTCTGCCTAGTATTTCTACAGGCAAACCACCAAGATGAGTCATCCTCTAGGGGGCAACAGAGTATGACTCAGGCTTAGATTGTAGGGATTAGCTTCCACAGGGAGAGACTGACCTTGAAGAACTAAGAACAGTCTGAGATTTGAGAGCACAGTACCCAAGCTTCCATTTTATTATAGAACTCCAGAATCTCCACAATATTAAGAAAATTATTGTTTTTATTTTATGTGTATGAGTGTACTGCTTGCATGTAGGTAAGTGCACCTGTGTCTTGCAATGCTGGTGGAAGTCAAAAGAGGGTATCAGATCCCCTGGAACTGGAGTTATGGATAGTTGTTAGCCATCAGGTGGGTTCTGGAAACCAAACCTGAGCCCTCTGTGTGGGCAGTCAGTGCTCTTAACTGCTGCGCCATCTCTCCAGCCCCCTTCACAATATTTTGTAGTAAATGTAAATAAGGTTGGGGTGGACAAAAAGATGGATAACTGCCTTTCAAGAGCAGCTGAACGGAGCCCACACCCCAGGTCTGGGCAGGACTAGAGGAGTAAGTAGAGAGGCAAAGCCTACTCAAGTTCTCCAAGTGGAACACTCTAAAGTGAGTTTTCTTACTCTTTTTTTCCCAGGGTCTTATGTTAAGTATAATACCATATTTAAACTCCACGGCCATCTTTCAGTGCTCATCACCTGCATTTCTCAGTACCTAGAATAGGTAGAAAATGCTTTCTGAACTTCTACTGAGTCTTCCAAACTGTAGTGGTTTGGCCTGGACCATCCCACCTAGACTGTGTTGTGACAGGCAGGTCTCTTAGTAGTCAATTCCCACGTAATAGAAAGAACTCTGCAAATTACCTATGTGCAAAGCCTAAAGGAACAAGGATCCTGGGTGGGTGAGATTAAAATTCTGCTGACATGCTGTCTTCCCAATTTTCTAGGAGAATCGGAGACTGATGTAGGCACAGTGTACTTTTCAGGCACCTGGTGGGAAGCCTGCCTGACTCAGGTGAAGAGGAAAAGCTAAAGAAGAAAAGCTGAAGGGCGATGAGTGGTGTAGATTCTACGAAAGCGCATGGTGGATTCCTTGTACATATATCTGAAAATCTACTGGGGGAAAGACTAATGGAAGAAATAGAATTAATCTGCGAACACCTATAGTCTTTCTTATCTGTTTCCTTCTCAGAAAGAAAAGCTCTTATTGGCTGAATTTTCTGTGTAGAATTTGAATGATGGGACAGCACTTCTTGAAAATCAAAGAATAAGATGGGAATGAAGTTGACAAAGGGCTACATGCAAGAAGGAAAATCACTGTATGCAGTTAGAGTCTGGTAAAGGGATGGTCTTTTTAAAAACTTATTTTCTGAAAATATGTGTGTGTGTGTGTGTGTGTGTGTGTGTGTGTGTGTTTGTACACATGTGAGTGCAGGTGCCTCCAAAGCACAGAAAAGGGTATGAGATCCCCTAGAGCTAGTTACAGGCAGTTGTGAGCTGCTTGACATGAGTTCTAGAAACTGAGCTCGGGTCCTCTGCAAGAGTTCTTAACTGCTGAGATGTCTCTCTGGCTTGCAAAGGACTGGTCTTAGCAAGAAGACAGCCCTGGAAGCAAGAAGAGGAGAGATGAAAGGACAGTGAAAGGACCATTTGAAAGGACTGAGTACTACAGAGATGAGGAATAAGAGAACTATGCCAAAAAGAATATTAAGTCATGTGGCTTATATTAGCAATGCACTGTGTGTCTTCGGGCATTTTACTAGGAGGCCTAGTAAAGATTCTGAATGCTTTATTTACTGCTTGGATAGTCCGCTTGAAGACAAGGATAGACGGATATATTTAGATTATAATTACAAAGTGCATTGATCTGAGATATTATCTATTAGCCTTACTCATTTTACCACTTTCTTCACTTTATATTTGATAATTCACTGTTCCAAGTGGGAATAAACCTGACAAGTATTTTAGAAATGTATTTTTAAATCAATAAAAAAATAAAGCTGTAGCTGGGTACGAACAGACTTTCTGCCAAGTACGGTAATTGTTACTTGTGGAATTTTCTTAGAATGGCCAAGATTTGACTCAATAACTATAGCTCTGGAATGAATAACTGGGTGGAGACACTGGTCTGTGGAAAGTTGCTCAGTTCAAGTCCATATGCTACAAGAGATTTATTGGTAGATTCACTCAATGGATTCAAGAAACACAGGGTGTATTTAGTTCAAACTGAACACTGAATTCTCTAAATCTTTGATGTTTATGCTCTGTCTTTCCTAACCATTTTTCTTTTTCCTTGCTCTTTCTTCTTTTTAGAACAGCACTAAACATTTATTAAAGTACATTTTTTTGTGTTTACGTGCAATGATTATGCTCAAATCATGTTAAGATATGAGAAAGGGAGGCAGTTATTTAAAAACACTGTCGTGGAAACAACCACAAAGCTGTGAGGAATGGAGGCAAACTTAGAGACCAGAATTGCTGCTGATTTTGCTGCTACACTATAGAGAAACTGGGAATTCAACTGTGAAAGAAGTCTTGAGATATTCCGTAGCACTGTGCATCTCAAGTACAGGGCAAAGTCAGGTATGAGATGTCTGGAGCTCTTGGCTGTGTACACAGTACAGGAGTAAGTCTCAGAGACAGCTCATTGTGGTTAAAGAGCCAGGGACATTTTAGTGTGAAAAGAACCATCTATCTTGTCTTCGCTGAGCCAATTTAACAAAAATTCAGAGTCTGACCATGTGACTTTCTGAATCCCAGCATAGGTTGAATATCAGCAGACAAGTGTTTCCCACTTCATGTGGTAAGACTCCTCTTTCTTAAAGCAGTGATCTTTGCTGACGTAGTACTGATTTCCCTTTGCTCTACCATGTATACCATTTCTACAAACCCATTAGTAAAATCTGTTCTCAGACAACAGAGAATTATAATTCCAAAGCCATAGCTGGAGAGAAGATGTTTACCCTTCAAACCACTGAAAGGTTTTCTAAAAGAAGTAGAAGGATGTGTTGATGTTCACAGGACTTATAGAGTGTAGATTGCACCATATACCTCATCATGTGGGAACAGTTTGTGTCCCAGAGAATTATCTAGCTCATTGTGTGTGTGTGTGTGTGTGTGTGTGTGTGTGTGTGTGTGTGCATTTGTATATTTCTATTTTGGCAGTACTGGCATTAAACCCGAAGTCTTATATTTTCTAGACAAATGTTCTAACACTGAGCCATACTCCAGTCTACTTAGAAGTGCTTACTGAAGATGATATTTTATGATATTACTACAATTCAACTCTGTGAGTTGAGATCTCTGTAGGAAAATGAAATTCTTTCTTAGCATAGGTCTGGGCAGGAAGATGAACACTGGAATCATCACTGTTAATATATGTTGAAGATGATCATACCAAATTCAAGCTTTCTATGCAACTATGACAGTAGATGCAAAACTGATTACTCATGTCTTGGTTCTATGTCAATGCCCAGTATGGCTCAGGAATTGGTAAGATGATGGTTCCCCCCAAAGAGTCTCTGTGTATGATTGTCTAAGAATGAAAAAAGAACACTAGGTGGCAAAAACACCTGATATATCATTTAGGAAGCCATCGCCTAAAGCCTTCTATTAATCATCATACATCTGCAAACCTATCACAAACAAAACATTACTGTCATTAATATTTGCTCTTTGACAAACGATACATACCTTTCTTTGGAGTAAGAGGGATTAACTAATAATCTATTTAGAGTTCATAAAAGTGGGACAGAACTGTGGAGGGCAAAACTTACTCATTAAAATTTAACGGAATTATGCACGTTGCATAAAGTCCACAAGGCACAATAAAGGAACATGTAGTGAAAGTGTTTCCCTTTCCTTCTGTCCATCAGATGCCAGGGACTCCAGACAGCTGCTGCTGATTTCCTGTATACTCTTATGTTCATATATACAACACACGAGCACATATAATTATTCTAAAATCAAAGGTAGGACTTAGCGTCTTATGGCTTTTTTCTATTAATATAGCTATCTACTTGGCTAGTACAACAATATTCTCCCATCATTTCTTTCAGTATGTTTATGGTTTCCATTGGCATATTAAACGCCTGGCATTCTCTTTATTCTGAAGAGTAAGATGGAGACTTTCTCTTCCAGATGATAGAACCGAACCGTATTTAATGACTGCGTTCTCGTTACTTTTCAGTTGCTGTGATAAAACACCGCAACCAAAAGCACCTTAAAGAAAAGGTTTATTTTGGCTTATACTTCCAAAGGGATAGAGTCTATCATGGAGGGGAAGGCATAGCAGTAGGCAGGAAAGCCTGACGGTGGGAGCAGGAATTGGCTGAGCACAGTTTCATCCACACACAGGAAACAGACAGAGGAAACAGGAAGTAGGGACAGGCTATAAACCCTCAGAGCTGGAACCTGGTGACATACTTCCTCCAGCAAGGCTCTACATCCTAAAGGTTCCAAAACCTCCCTAAACAGCACCACCAACTAAGGACCAGCTGTTCAAACACATGAGTCTATGGGAAAGGACCACACTGTGGAATGTTGCCTTCTTGAGAAGATTAACAGAGATGACACGCTGTTTTCCATCTGCCACCTGCCCCTGGGGGTTCAGTGATTCATCAGGTCCATTCAAGCTGCCCCTTCACAGCAGGCTTTGTTTAACTTTGCATTACAGCTCTTGTAACAGAAGCACACTCAAGTGTGCACACCATGCAGACACAGGCCACCAAGCACATTTTTTCCAAGTCTGTGTTGCTCAAATGGTGGGGTGTGGGGCTGCCACCTACACTGGTGCTGCTTTCCTATAAGATCATGTGTGAGAGAAGTCAGCGTCCCTGCCTCATTTGTCACATTGGCAATAGTGTTTACTGTGGTTTGTCCCTAAGGGTTCTTGTGCTAGAAGGCTGGGCCTCAGCTTGCAGTGTGGAGGTGGTAGAACCTTTACGAGGCATTACATCGTGGGAGTACCACCCTCACAAATAAATTCGTGTTGCCTTGTAAGGACAGGTTATTTAAAGCAAGGCTAGACCATATACAAGGCCCCTTTAGCACTTAGCTACTTTCCTTTATACCTCTCTGTCATGCTGTGACACTGCCAGGGAACCCTTGCCAGGAAGTTGGCACCATACTGTTTAGAACCTCTGGCCACTAGATTCATAAGCCAAATTAACCTCTTTACTATATTAGTTACCCAGCCTTGGACATTTTGTTTTAGCAATACAAAACATGATGTTGTTTTAGAATAACTAAAACAGTAGTCAAATAACATTTCTGTGTCTTAAGGCAAGCTAAAAACAATAGTTTGTTCTTTTAGCTACCTTTATTATTTGGTTCCAAAATAATGAACTTTAATATAATAATAGTTTAAAAATTTTTTTCTAAAATTGCCAAACTTGGCTGTTGGTTTTGTTTTAAAAACATAGGGAGCTGGCAAGCTAGGTTAGCCAGTAAAGTGCTTGCCTTATAAGCATCAAGACCTGAGCTTTATCCCCAGAAACCATATTGAAAAATGCCAGGCATATGGTGTGCATTAGTAATCCCAGTGAGAAGACAGGTCGATGATCTCTGGAGATCACTAGCTGGACAGCCTAATAGCCTACTGGGCAAGTTCCAGTTCCAGGTCTTTAAAAAGCAAGGTGGATGGCACCTCAGGAATGAATTACACCTGGTTATCCCTGGCCTCCACACATGTGCACACACAGGAACACACACGCGCGCACACACACACACACACACACACACACATGCACGCACACACACGAACACACACAGAGTTAAATATTATTAAGTTAATAAAAATAGGTTACTCTAAGAAACCATTTTCTAAATTTTTCTAAACAACTAGAATTATCAAGTTCATCTGTATTTTTAAACTCTTTAGTGATGTTTCCTGAAGGTTAAAATCCATGAGATGGCTGCAGCCAATCTTGTGCAAACATCTATGATCATGTGAAGACCATGCACAGCTGGTCATTGGGAAGAACAAGTGTGGGCATCTAAAAAACTGAACAGAAAATAATAGAAGGTGGTCCCACTGAAAAGTGATCCAGGAGTTCCTTTTACTAAGCACTGTGTGAAGTGTTACACGTGCAATGCTCCATGAGTGCAAAGCACGGGGGACTGCTGGTATCTTCTTTTGTAAATGAGAAAGCTAGGTGGCAGAGGGGTAGAGTGATTTTCAATCACACAGCAAATGAATGCTAATGTAGGGCTAGGACATCTCTACCAGACAGATTAGAAGAAAGAGTTAAGGGTAGGGACCTCAAGAGGTCAGGGACCTGGGAGCTGAGCATGCTGGGAAGCAAGGAGGATGAGAAGACAGGGGAGGCTTGCCCTTCAAGAGACCTGGGATGGGTCTTCCCAGGACGCATTTTCCTATTGCCAACTCTCTTGCTGCCACTGGATGGGGTGTGGCAGGACAAGAGGCAGTGACTTCCGTCTCTGGAGGCAATAGGGTAGCTCATTTGAAGAGAGCAAGTGGAGAGACCAATCAAAGGGAATGCAGGATCCCACCTTCTCCCATCTGAGCAACCCTTGGACCAGGTCCTGGCCGGAAGACCAGGGCTTCATCCAGTTTCTCAGAAAATGAGGAGACAACCAGGGAATTCCCGTGCTCCACATCTTTCTGGCACACTTACACAGACCACACAGATGCCCCTGTCAGGACTCCTAAAGTCTCAAAGTTAGACTAGGACCATTTGCTACAAACTGGAGAGAAGGAAGGAGCCAGACAGGGGCAGGGAGCCCCAGAATTCTGTCTGGTATCTATTCACTGGAGAGAGGGAAAGAGCCAGACAGGGGCTGGTCTAAGCTGGCAAGGAGCCCCAGAATTCTGTCTTGTATCTATTCACCTCCTGTGTGTTTACTCCAAGATACCACTGATCTTGAAGCCTGCCAAGGCAGGGCTTAGGCAGCCAGTGATCACAGGGAAAAACCTTGCCTGTTATTTTGATATCGATGACTCTCAGGAAGTTGGCAAATATTCAAAAAAATTGTGTTTCTGAGATTTTAGGGACCTAATCTTTTAAAAATAAGCTCCCAAGTATTTTGTGTTACCTTGTATGAACTTGATAAAGTTTAGGAAAACAGTTTTAAAAACTGTGGGAAACTTGAGTGTGGCACAGAGATTTTTAGAGAAAATATACTTAAACTCTCTATAATATGCATTTTATAAGTAAATATATATTGTTGTTTTAAGAACTTGGTTCTTTGATTATTGTATCTAGCAATGAGAGTTTAATTTAAAATATTTTATTTTTATTTTATGTATATGAGTATATTGCCTGCACATAGTAGGTAGGTGACCCCGTGTCGGGGCAAGACCCTCAAAGGTCAGAAGAGGATGTAAAATCCCCTGGAACTGGAGTTACTGACAATTGTTAGCTACCATGTGGGTGTTGAGAATTGAACCCGTGTCGTCTGCAAGAACAGTTAGTGCTCTTGACTGCTGAGCCATCTCTCCAGCGTGAGATTTTTATTTTAAATGAAATATGTAAGTAGGCTGAAAATGTTCTAATATTGTATTTATAACAAGGTCTTATAGAAAACATATGCTGTACTATATACCCAACCTAGTAACCCAAGTTTGCTATTTATTTAAGAATTCAGCAGGGTGTGGTTACACATGCCTTTAACTTCAGCATTCCCGAGGCAAAGCTAGGTAACTCTCTGTGAGATCGAGGCTATCCTGGTCTACGTAGCAAATTCCAGGCCAGTGGGGGCTACAAGGAGTCCTTGTTTCAAAAAAACAAAGCAATCAAACAAAGAAAAATAAGGAATTCACGGTATTGGGTCCTTTTTAAAGGAGCACTAAAGAGTTAATTTTCTTTCTGTTCCAAATTGGAAAACAGAAGAGTAGGAAAGCAGTTACTATAACTGTTTTTAAAAAATACCTTTGTATTAAGTTGGGCATGGTGGCGCATGCCTTTAATCCCAACACTTGGGAGGGAGAGGCAGGTGGATCTCTGTGAGTTAACGGCCAGTCTGGTCTACATAGTGAGTTCCAGGCCAGTTGAGGTGATAGGGAGACCCTATCTCAAAAAAGACCAAAAATAAATAAATATAATAAATAAATAAAATACTTTTGTATTTTACCATTATTTGGTGAAATAATTTATGCATTTAAGTCATGAGTGGACACACCCTGTGTTTAGGAGTCGCTCATGGCTGAGCGAGTTTTGCCTTTGCTTTGCTCTGTGGCCACCTTCTTAACTTCCCTGAGCCCCCTCAGTCTTTTCTTCTATAGGATGACAGTAATGAAAACGACTATGGGTACAGTGAAGAAGATAATGGCATTTAGCAGTCACTGCACGATAGTATTGGTTATTAGTGATAGTGACGTGGAGTGTAAGCTGAGAGCCAAGAGTAAAATGTATTTTCTTTGAATAGGAAATAGATTCCTGGACTGAAGCTGGTTAGATTTACTGTGATGTAAATGAAGCCATGTTCTGTTTTGATTGTAGAGATTTCTTCGTATTTAGTAGGACAGAAAGACAGATATTTGTAGGTTGACAGTGCAGTGTGAAGCCAATGTCTTGTGAAAAGAATTATGACCCCAAAGTTGAAGCATGAAGTGCCCTCTGGTGAGTCCCTTAGCCAATCTGCCACAGCTTTCTCTCTCTTTCTATTATTTATTTATTTATTTATTTATTTATTTTTAGAGAATGAGTCTTCCTGTAGTTCACCTGTGGAGACCTGGCTGGCCTCCCTCTCACAGAGATCCGCCTGCCTCTACCTCTTGAGCCCTGGGATTAAAGGCATCCACCACCATGCCTGGCCCACAGTTCTATTATTTCCAAAATATTGGGGGTGGGGAGCCACTTGCGGCTGAAATAAAAAGACATGATGATTTTGCTTTGGAAAATCAGTTCATCAATGTTTTTTTTTCCATGGCTATAAAAAGTATTAAAAAATGAAACAAAATAAAGTAGTAAAAACTCTCGGTATGTATTTTTCCCTTGGGTAATGAGGTGCTCAGCTAGTCGTCTTGGAAAAGATTATTTTCTGCTCTGGTCAAAGTGGCCTACTTTCTTTTTGTATTGAAGGGCTTTGAAATTAGAAGTTATTTGTATTTTCCCAGGGAGTGTCCACTTTAGGAAGAAAGAAAATTATATGCCTGAAGAACGTGGTTGGCCAATTTATTGTTTATGTCTGCCCTCAGCTTGAAAGGAAATACATTGGATTTCAGTTTCTCTTTTCTTTTTTGGGAAAATATAAAACATAGTGTGCATTTTGTTTTAGGATGACATAATGTTCTCCTCCTTACTTAAAGGTGAATTCTGTGAGAATCAGCTCATAATCTAAACTGAATCAGACATGTAGGGAAATGGGAGAAACAAAGGAAATCAACAATTTCCTTAAAAGAAAGAAAAACATTTCAAAGAGGAAAGTATGCTTACTAGCAATGGTATAAATGAGATATTTAAAAATGTGATCCAAAGAACAAATTCTTTTCCTGCCCTTTATCTCTTTTTAAAAAGGTTAGGTAGCTCATCAGTGTACAGGACAGATACCTGTGATAGAGGTCTGGGCACTCTTTTTTTAAAATTAAAATTTTGTATCTTTGACCTTTTATATATTGTCTTTTTGAGACAGGGTTTCCCTGTAGTCCCAGCTGACCTGAACTCAGTATGTAGACCAGGCTGGCCTTGAACTCACAGCCATCTGCCTGCCTTTGCCTCCCAAGTGCTGGGACTAAAGGCGTGCGCCACCACGCCTGGCTGTTTAAATGTATTTTATTCCTCTAAAGTGCTGGTTTGGGGAAATTTTATAAAATCAGTTACTTCCTCTGTAATTGCTTCATATTCCTATGAGAAAATCAGCATGTGACATCAGGGGACGGCCATCGTAAAGAGTGCGTTACTGAAGTTATCCTTAGACCAAAAAGAGTGTTGCAGTGTACACAGAAAATAACTTAATTGGTAAGTTATTTCATTTTAGTAGTAAAGAGTAGGTAGCTAGAAGTCAAAGGGAACATTTTAAATCTGGTGTTGGCTGAATTACCTCATTCATTTGTGCTCGGTGCCCTCTTCTGGTAACCGTGAGTAATGTTTGCCAGCTCATTCTGCTTGACCATGAAACATACGTGCAGCTGTACATGTACTCTGGGCAGCATCTTGCTAAGTGGGACTCTTGCTCATCTTTTTGGTTTCACCTTCATCCAGGGAATCGGGCACACAGCCTGCTTGCACACAACAGAAGTGACAAATGTGTGGGACAGGAAAGCTACTTCCAACCTGTGTGACCCCAGAAGTGAAGACCAGCCCATCCTCACCCACACCACAGCCCACTGAGTAAACCCCAGTGTCATCACACCCAGGTAGGGGGGCACCCAATGAAACTGAGGGCCAAACCTTAAATATTCATGAAGTCACCGATTTACTCATTTTTCCGTGTTTTGGGGTCAGGTAGAGTAGAATGGGGTACTCAGAGCCAAAAACTTATTGATGCTTATTACTGAAAAATGATATCTTAGTGTACCTGTTTAGAAACCATGGTGCATTCAGGGTTCTCAGGAAAGATGGGTTCAAAATGAAAATACAGTTACAAGTCATAGGCTGTAGCATACCAGAGAGGGAGTGACTTTGAATGTCTTCTAATTTGCTTTCTAGTTCAGGATATATGTGAACTTTTAACTTATTCTGAGGTACATGGGAGGTATATTCTCCTAAACAAAAAGCAAGAAAACAAACAAGCACAACACCCACTACCACCAGCAAAAACAGCAGGCTTTCCTACTGTTCATTACAGAAGTGGTGGAGTCTCCAAGCTCAGCTTTCTATAGCTGTGATGCAAATCTGTGTGTCAAATCCTTCAGAATCGTGTCAAATCAAGACAGAGAGAACCAAGGTGTAACAGTGTTGATCTTTGTGTTGCCTGCCGTGCCATGAGCAAAAGTGTCCAACGTCTATGTCTTCAGGCAGTGAAGAGTAACTAGTTAAGGCTGACTTAACTAGTTTATTAGTAGTGCACAATCGAAACCTACACCTCACAGTAAGTTGTATTTTTCTCTGTGTTCTTTAATTATTGACTTACCTTCTTTATATGTGAGACACTAGATCAACTTCAGTAGCTAATTAATTTCCGTCCACTCTATCTTTGGTAACAGACTCTCTGTAGACATCAGCAAATGTGGACATACTTAGGATATGCAAATACATTGTTCCTGTAAATGGTATATTTCTTGTTAGAAAGCAAAATTCACAAGCAACTTGATAAGAGATGTTGTATGCCTTGATCTTCCAAATTAGGACATAGCTCAAATCCACCATAGATTTGATGACTATGTTCCCCTTCCTAAGGCTTTGAAGGGAATAAATTTGTTCAGTGTAGATAGCCCTAGGACATGCTACATTGTTCCAATATTCAAGAATTCATATTGTTGATATTTGTTAGATGAATTAACAGAAATTTTGTTAACTCTTGATGGTGATCAGCAAGTTGATTCTCCAGTATGAGAATAAAGAGGACAATGTGGATGAAGAGCTGGGAATGACTGGGAAAGTTAAGGAAATGTGATCATGGTTTTATTTTCACTGGGTCTTTACTATCCTGGTGAAATTTTATTTTCCATTTGAAAAACTGAATTAGAGGGACTGGAGAGTTTGTTCAGCCGTTGAAAGTATATACTCTTGTAGGGGTTCCAAGTTTGATTCCCAGCACCCATTTTGGATGGCTCACAACTGCCTGTGACTCCAGCTCCAGTGGGCTTGGACACATGACCTCTGGGGGAACCTGCACTCACATGCTCATCCTCCCCTTCCACATATACGTAATTATAGAAGGATAAGTACACATTTAGAATTTCTATCACTGAGTTTAGATCCAGGCTATTAATGGAAGCCAAGGCATTTCAACTTCAAATAAAGTTTTCTATCACATATAGACTATTTTCTACTTTACTTTCATAAGGGTTACTAATATGTGACTTCTAGAGATAAAAAATGTAAACAGAACTCCTTTTCTGTGAAGAAGCTGTCTTTT